CTCCTGGCCCTGCTCTCTTCCCCTTCGCTCCCCCTTCAAGGGTCATACTCAACTCCCTGCTCTCTCCTAAGGGCCAGCCCACCCCCTTAGGTAACACCAGCCCCCTCGGCACTATCCTCATTTACCCACCACCCACATTCCCACAGACCAAACTGACCCTGCTCCATTCCTTCCTTGGGCCACTAACCTGTCTCTGTCCCCCCCCCCAGCTCCTGGCAGCTTCTCCCCGGACGCCCACCTGCCTCAAAGTCAGCTCCTGGGCTCCTTGGCCGAGGGCCTGCCCACCTCGCCGCCCCCAGATGACAGCCCATCTCTGAAGGTGTTCCGCTGCCTGGTGTGCCAGGCCTTCAGCACAGACAACCTGGAGCTGCTGCTCTACCACTGCAGCATGGGCCGCAGCCTCCCGGAGGCCGAATGGAAGGAGGTGGCCGGTGACACCCACCGCTGCAAGCTCTGCTGCTATGGCACCCAGCTCAAGGCCAACTTCCAACTCCACCTCAAGACCGACAAACATGCTCAGAAGTACCAGCTGGCAGCCCACCTGAGGGAGGGCAGTGGGGCTACGGGCACTCCCTCCCCCATGCCCCTGGGAGATGGGACTCCTTATGGGTCTGTGCCCGCCCTGCACCTGCGCTGCAACATCTGTGATTTTGAGTCCAACAGCAAGGAGAAGATGCAGCTACACGCCCGGGGGGCAGCCCATGAGGAAAACAGCCAGGTCTACAAGGTGAGGGGTAGGAAGGCCTCAGGTGAGGGCAGAGCAGACGCCTCGGGGAGAGGGAAGTGGAAAGGGATGGGAAAGCCCGAGGTGGCAGAACTGGAGAAAAAGGCATGTATGGCCCAGTCAGCATGACTCAGTGGTTGAGCATCAAGCTATGAAGCAGGAGATCATGATTCGATTCCCTGTCAGGCACATGCCCAGGTTGTGGGCTCGATTTCCAGTGGGTTGTGTAGGAGGCAACCAATCAATGATTCTCTCCCATCATAGATATTTCTCTCTCTCTCTCCCTCTCCCTTCCTCTCTGAAATCAATAAAATTTAAAAAAAAATTTTTTTTAAAGGCCTGTACTATGCACAGGATAATATCCTGTTTAGAAAAAAGATGCGGAGAAAGAGGCAAAGGATGGTAGACTTAGTCGAACAAAGTGAATCCAATATTTTACTCCGCTTTTCTGGTGTTTGGGGCTGGAGAGAGGACTCTGTCTCTATTCAGCCCATCTTATCACCAGAAGTTTGAGAACAGAACCAGATTCCATTCACACACCAGGAGAGTCCAGGATGGGTAGGAGGAAGAGGAGATTGGGGAGAAAAAGCAGTAACACTCAAATGGACTTAGGAAGGAATAGGGGAGCTCAAGAGGGTGGAAGGGCTGGGTGGGGGTGCTGCTGGTGAGGCTCCCTTGGGGAAGGTAAAGGAGCCCCCGAGATCTGGAGGTATCTGTTCCTTCTGGGCCTGACCTGCCTTTTTCCATTTTTCCAGTTTCTTCTGGAGATGGAGGGGGCAGCGGCAGGGGCAGAGCTGGGACTGTTCCGCTGCCTGCTGTGTGCCTGGGAGACGCCCTCCCGCCTGGCCCTGCTGCAGCACCTGCGAGCACCCGCCCACCGCGATGCCCAGGCCCAGCGGCGCCTGCAGCTGCTACAGAGTGGCCCGGCAGCCGAGGAAGGGCTCTCAGCTCTTCAGAGCATCCTTAGCTTCAGCCATGGGCAGCTCCGGACTCCAGGTGAGGCGGAGGGGATTGAAGGGCTAGGGCTGGGCAGAGAGGGCAGCTGGCATGGAGCTGAGGGCTGATGAGAAAGTGATACAAGGGGGAACAGGTCTGCTCCAGATTTCAGGAACAGTGGGACTGCCGAGTGAAGGGGGGGACAAGAGGCTGTTGGAGGGAGGAAGCAGAGAAGGGCAGGGACTTCGCTGGGTGGAAAACAGAGAACAACCCTAGCTGGTTTGCTCAGTGGATAGAGCATTGGACTGTGGACCAGAGGGTCCCGGGTTCGATTATGGTCAAGGGGGCACGTACCTTGGTTGCAGGCTCCTCCCCAGCCTGGGCTCTAGTTAGAGTGTGTGCAGGAGGCAACCAATCAATATGTTTCTCTCACATCGATATTTTTCACTGTCTTTCCCTCTTCCCTCTCTCTAAAAATCAATGGAAAAATATCCTCGGGTGAGGATTAAAAAAACAGAACAGGAAGAGAGGTGAGGAGGAGTCATCCAGTGGTTCCAAGTACTGACCAGTGTCCTGGCAACGCTGGGTAGGGAGGTGGGCAGGAGCTGGTCAGGAAGGACAGAGGCAGAAAGAAAAGAATGGGGCAGGACATATGGGAAACTGATGGGAGCTGTGGGCATGGTCTGAAGGCAGCCTAGGTGGGAAGCCTTGACAAGCTCCCCAGCCTTTTCCTGTCTCCTAGGAGGTCTTCAGCCTGAAGGCTGGGCTGAGGGTCCCCCAAGGCAGCTCAGGTTGCAGGGTGTAACTGCAGAAACTGGGAAGGGCCCGCCTGGGGGTGCAGGAGAAGGGCCTGGAAGGGGCTGTCAGAGGTGAGCACAGCGTCTGTCCGGGATTCACAGAGACCAGTGGTGGGCGAGGCTGGGGCTCGGGCAGCAGGAACCAGGAACAGGCAGCATTGACTGTGCTAATTGAATTGCCAATATGCTGGCTGGAGTTAAGTGCTGGAGGGGCCCAGATCAATAGCTAACGATCCTGGCGCAAGGCTGAATGGAGTTAAGGAACTTTAACACTTTAATTAGGCCGCCACCGAAAATAAATTCCTACACATCTGTCAATTCTTACTTGAGTGGTAATCTCCTCTCCCAGTTAGACCTGCCGCCTCCTGCTCACTACAGCTGCTTCCATGCAACCTCACCTTCCTTCTTCAGCACCTCTCCCTCTACATTTCTAGGCTCCTTGCTTCCAGGATCAGTCATGACAAGGAGCTGAGTTTGGTCCTGTTTCTGTCACCTACTGCTGGACTTATTTGCTTATCTTCGAGTGACAGGGACTGGACTCCCAGGGATGATTTCGTAGGCTCTCCTCCTCTGTATTTCTTTTTTGTCCTCCCCTGCCTGTTGATTCATCCATCCATTTTCTCCCTCATTGCCTGGCTGCTTGTCCTGCTTTCTTTGCTCTATCTCTTCCCTTTCCTGACGCTTCAACCTTATAAGCTGACTCTCCCCTCTACACAGGGAAGGCTCCTGTTGCCCCCTTAGCTGAGCCACCCACCCCAGAGAAAGATGTCCAGAATAAGACAGAACAATTAGGTGAGTTGCTTATCTGGTTAATTTTCCTCCATCCCTTGCCCTCCCCATCCCTAACCCTAATACATTCTGAGATGCTCATGGGACTTTGCAGTATCCACACACCCTGCAAGGCCTGGGATAAAGGAGCCAAAGTGATCAAAAGAAAGGACACATCAGAGGGGAGGGAGGCAGAGCCACAGAAGGCTGGGTGCTTCTGTTCTCTTCGAGGACCCAAACCTGGCCATCCCACTAACCTGGGCTCAGCCCTGCTGAGCCAGCCTCCCCTCGCTGTACTCAGTATAGCTCTGTACGTTTCTGCCCTTTCTACCTTTCCCCAGAGCCCAGCCCCCTACCCTGGAAGCTCTGTGCTACAAATCAGGTCATCTTAAGAGCTGAGGGTCTGTGAAGGGAAGAGGGGGGTCTGGGGAGTCTCTTAATCTCCTCTCCTTTCATCTTCAGCTTCTGAAGAGGCAGAGAACAAGACTGGCCCTCCTGGAGACAGTGCCAACCAGACCACGGTCAGAACTGGGGTAACTGGGAAGAGCTGGGGGGGGGGTCTAGTTTTACTGAGATCTACTCATGTTCTAAAGGCTGAAATTCTAATCAGCAGAGCTTTACAGAGATTTCAGACCAAGGGTAGACCTAATTTTGTCGTGCTTGTGACTTATTTAACTCAAAATACATGATTAAAGAAATCCCACTTGGGCCCAGTTATGGCTGTTCTGGACTAACGGGGCAGAGCTGGCCCCCAGGGGTGGAGCACAGAGGGAGATGACAGGAAGGATGGCAGGAATTTGAGAGAAAGGTGAAGAGAGAACTGTATTGAGGGCAGGAAAGATTGGAGGTAGGTGGAGGGAGGAGGGAAGGAAAGAAGTGAAGAAACGAAGCAAGGCAAAAACAAAAAACTAGCTGCCGCCGGGCTCTTTATTTCTGTCATGAACAGAAAGGCAACTAGATGTGGATGTTCATCTCCAACGGGAAGCCCTGAGCCTGGAGGGAAGTGACCTGGCACCCCCTCCCTGAGGGTAGAGGCACCAGCCCAGATGATTCATCCAGACAGCAAGCGCTGCAGATCTCTCAGTCTCTGGACCCAGGCCTCTGCCTGACCTAGGCAGGCCCCAGTAGTCTAGCTCTGTGGCCTGGAAGTATTGATTTTGAGTGCCTCACAGCTCTCCAAACTGGAACTGCAATATGCAGTATTTGTCATGACTGCCTTCCTTCAAACTGCTGCAGTAATGGCTTATGTCCTCAGCTTCCCCTCCTCCTGACCCGTACTCCCTCAACAGACCTACTCCAGATGTCCGCTCCTAGGCCTGGGTGCATGCAGATGAGCATCCCCTTCCTGCTGTGCAGGCCTGGACTGATGGCACAGGGGGCAGGAGAGGGAGTGCGCCAGGGAGACAAATGCAGGCTGGAGATCAGGCACACAGGGGACTTGGGGAAACAGAGGGGGTGCCCAGGCTCCCCAGTCCCATCCTCCAGAGGTGTGGGCAAGAAGGCACTAACAGAGTCAAGCCAGAATTTCCTGAGCCACGGAGGGAGCGATGGTTATTGTTTGCATTAAGAAGAGAAGAAAAATAAAAGAAGGAAAAGAAAGTGGGAACTGCTGAGCCTCTGAGGGAGAATGAGCTGACTTCTGAGCAGAGAGGTAGGGAGACACTTAGTTCAGGGACCTTGGGGAGGCCAGTGGGCCAGGACCAGGGAGACTCTGGGTGCAGGAAGTGCCAGAGGGAAGGGGAACCATTTCAGGGAGACGATACAGGCAGTGTGAGGGTGGTGAAGAAAACTGAATCCCAGGGAGGGCGGTACAGGGCCATACTGTCAGCAGAGACAGGGAAAGCTAGACCAAGGAAAGACAGAGACCAGGATGGAGCACGAGGGCCAGACAAAGAAGGCAAGGTGGGGCCTAGCTTAGGCCTTCGTCCCAGTCCGTGGGAAACCCGGGAGGAGCCAGCTTTCAGGACTGTGGGTGGGTCCACAGTGATGCCTTCCCCTTGGGCTCGCTGCTTTATTGGGAGCGGATATTGTGCAGGAGCGTAAAGGCTGCGTGATGGCAGGTCCCACCCGTCCCTGACACCCCCTCCGCCCGTGTGCCCCCAGGTGTACTGCTGTCCATACTGCAGCTTCCTGAGCCCAGAGTCGGAGCAGGTGAGGGCTCATGCACTCTCCCAGCATGCAGTGCAGCCTAAGTACAGGTGCCCGCTGTGCCAGGAGCAGCTGGTGGGCCGGCCTGCCCTGCATTTCCACCTTAGCCACCTTCACAACGTGGTGCCTGAGTGTGTTGAGAAGCTGCTGCTTGTGGTGAGTACAGGTTGGGTGAGGACCCGTCCAGGGAGCCCTGTCAGGCTGGGCAGGAGGGGTCAGAGGGAGGCAGAGGCAGGGGTGCCGGGCAAGTGTGTGTGTTGGGGGGTGGGTGTTGGTGAAGGAAACAGCATTTCACAGATTTGAAGGTGGATTTTAGAGTTGGAGGGAACCGAGTGGAGCTTATCTACTGCCTTACTCGCCTGGGAGGCGGCTAAGCATTTCCTTCACTCACATTAGGTCCCGAGAAGAGCTGTTCAACAGCAGGCCCGGCCTGCCAGGCCCTCTCCTCTGTGGGAAAAGCGGAAGTTAGGTGGGAGGTCTGTCCAGAGACAAGACTGGAGCCGTGCAAAGGGGCTGGGCATAGGCATAGCAGTAGCCAGAGGGCGAGAAGGAAGTCACTGGGATTTCTTCCATTACAGGCCACAACTGTAGAGATGACCTTTGTGACCAAAGTGCTGCCTGGGCCCTCTCTCAGCCCTCTGGGGGATGGCCCAGTGCCCCTGGCTCCCGGGCCAGAGCCTGCACCCGGCAGAGACCAGGCAGCAGGTAAGGAGGGGGATGGCAAGCCTCCCAAGGTGGCAGGAAAGGGGACCTGGGCTTCGAAGACCAAGAAAGTCTGAAGGAACTGAGGCAGGGATCAGTTGCCCTTGATAATGAGTGGGTGGGGTCTGACTTAAAGTTCCCTTCTCATTGCAACCCCTTCTCTCCCTTAGAAGGCCCTCACCCGCCTCCAGAAGCCAGTCCCAGTCCTCTTCCTGAGCTGCCCCTGCCCTCAGCCGAGGCCCCAGACAAGCCTGCAGGAAGCCCTGACCAACCCCCCTCTCCAGCCCCATCTCCAGCCCCTCGACCTGATGCCCAGGCTGAAGAAATGGCTGCTCTGCCCCTCATGGCTGAGGAGGAAGAGGGGACTGCTGGGGAGCCCCGCCCTGCAGAACCAGCTCCAGCGGACTCGCGCCCCGCTCTGACCTATCGGAAGACCACCAACTTTGCACTGGACAAGTTCCTTGACCCTGCCCGGCCCTATAAGTGCACTGTGTGTAAAGAGTCCTTCACACAGAAGAATATCCTCCTGGTCCATTATAACTCTGTCTCCCACCTGCACAAGATGAAGAAAGCTGCCATTGACCCCTCTGGCCCTGCCCGGGGAGAGGCTGGCTCAGCGCCTGCCACCACTGCGGCCACAGACAAGCCCTTTAAGTGCACGGTCTGCCGAGTCTCCTACAACCAGAGCTCCACCCTGGAGATCCACATGCGCTCAGTTCTGCACCAGACTCGCTCACGGGGGGCCAAGACTGATGCCAAGGCTGAGGGGCCAGAGCGTGGCCAAGAAGAGCCCAAAGAAGGCGAGACTGAGGGGGAGGCGGGCACTGAGAAGAAGGGCCCTGACCCCAGCGGCTTCATATCTGGGTTACCCTTTCTGTCCCCTCCTCCCCCTCCCTTGGACCTGCATCGATTCCCAGCCCCTCTCTTCACCCCGCCAGTCCTGCCCCCCTTCCCTTTGGTGCCCGAATCACTACTTAAGCTCCAGCAGCAACAGTTGCTCCTGCCCTTCTACCTCCATGACCTCAAGGTGGGGCCCAAGCTGGCACTGGCTGGGCCTGCACCCCTGCTGTCCCTGCCAGCTGCCGCCCCTCTGCCCCCACCCCCACCCCCAAAGGCTGAGCTGGCTGAGCGGGAATGGGAGCAGCCCCCCATAGCTGAAGAGGGAACTGAGGCAGGGACAGCCTCACCCCCCGAACCAACACCCAACGAGGCAGCCCACACTGCAGCCAAAGCCCTTCTAGAAAACTTTGGTTTTGAGCTGGTGATTCAGTACAATGAAGGGAAGCAGGCTGTGCCCCCTCCTCCCACCCCACCCCCACCAGAGGCCCTGGGGGGTGGGGAGAAGCTGGCCTGCAGGGCCTGTGGGAAACTCTTCTCTAACATGCTCATCCTCAAGACACACGAGGAGCATGTCCACCGCCGCTTTCTGCCCTTTGAGGCCCTGAGCCGTTATGCTGCTCAGTTTCGAAAGAGCTATGATAGCCTATACCCGCCCCCTGCAGAGCCCCCCAAACCTCCTGATGGGTCTCTGGATTCGCCTGCTCCCCAACTGGGTCTGCCCTTCCTGGTGCCAGAGCCCGAGACAGAGGTGGCCCATCCCCCTGAGGAGCGAAGCCGGGCGGGACACTGGCCCCCGGAGGAGGAAGACAACGCCAGAGGGAATCTTCCTCCCCTGCTGCCCGCAGGCCGCCGATTCTCCAGAACCAAGTTCACAGAGTTCCAGACGCAAGCCCTGCAGTCTTTCTTTGAGACCAGTGCCTACCCCAAGGATGGAGAGGTGGAGCGGCTTGCAAGTCTCTTGGGCCTGGCTAGCCGTGTGGTGGTAGTGTGGTTCCAGAATGCCCGCCAGAAAGCACGCAAAAATGCCAGCGAGGGCGGGCCTGCGCCAACCGCGGGAGGCACTGGGGGCGTCTCTGGCTGCAGGCGCTGCCACACCGCCTTCTCCTGTGTTTTTGAGTTGGTGCGACACCTTAAGAAATGCTATGATGACCAGCCCCTGGAAGAGGAAGAGGCAGAGAGAGGGGAAGAAGAGGAGGAAGTAGAGGAGGAAGATGCAGAGGAGGAACAGGGCCCGGAACCCCCAAAAGGTCCCAAGGGCCCATCACCAGAACCTCCAGACAGGGAAGAGCTGAGCCAAGCAGAAGCAACAAAGCCAGAAGGCAGAGAGCCTGAAGGGAGGGCTTCTCCCTCACCTGCCCCAGCCCACACCTGTGACCAATGCGCCATGTCTTTCTCCAGCCAGGACCTCCTGACCAGTCACCGCCGACTACATTTCCTGCCATCTGTGCAGCCCGGTGCTGCCTCCCACCTCCTAGATCTACCCTTGCTGGTGTTTGGGGAGCGAAACCCCCTGGTGGCAGGCACTCCACCAGTGCCAGGGCCACCCCTCAAACGGAAGCACGAGGACGGTAGCCTGTCTCCCACGGGCAGTGAAGCAGGGGGTGGAGGGGAAGGTGAGCCCCCCAGGGACAAGCGCCTACGCACCACCATCCTGCCCGAGCAGCTGGAGATCCTGTACCGCTGGTACATGCAGGACTCCAACCCAACACGCAAGATGCTGGACTGCATCTCCGAGGAGGTGGGGCTCAAAAAGCGGGTGGTGCAGGTCTGGTTCCAGAATACCAGGGCCCGAGAGAGGAAAGGCCAGTTTCGAAGCACCCCTGGGGGAGTGCCCAATCCAGCGGTCAAGCCCCCTGTCACACCCACCCCTGCACCCTTCCCCAAGTTCAACCTCTTGTTGGGCAAGGTGGATGATGGGACTGGGAGGGAGGCCCCCAAGAGAGAAGCACCTGCTTTTCCCTACCCCACGGTCACCCCGACTGCAGGGCCCCTGCCTTTCCTGCCTCCTGGGAAAGAGGCCGCCATCCCAACACCAGAGCCACCTCTACCTCTCCCTCCTCCCCTTCCCCCCAGTGAGGATGATGGCCCAGAGGAACCCACAAAAGCTTCTCCAGAGAGTGAGGCTTGCAGTCCATCTGCAGGTGATCTAAGCGATTCGTCTGCTTCCAGCCTGGCCGAACCAGAATCCCCTGGGGCTGGAGGGACCAGTGGGGGACCGGGTGGGGCTGGGGTTCCAGATGGGATGGGACAGCGGCGCTATAGGACCCAGATGAGCAGCCTGCAGCTGAAGATCATGAAAGCCTGTTATGAAGCCTACCGCACCCCCACCATGCAGGAATGTGAGGTGCTGGGGGAGGAGATTGGGCTGCCCAAGAGAGTCATCCAAGTCTGGTTCCAGAATGCTCGTGCCAAGGAAAAGAAAGCCAAACTGCAGGGGGCAGCAGCTGGCGGGGCTGGGGGCAGCAGCGAGGGCCCCTCAGGAGCCCAGCGCACTGACTGTCCCTACTGTGATGTCAAGTATGATTTCTATGTCTCCTGCCGAGGCCATCTCTTTTCCCGCCAGCACCTGGCCAAACTCAAGGAGGCGGTCCAAGCCCAGCTGAAGAGTGAAAGCAAGTGCTACGACTTGGTCCCAGCACCTGAGACATCTCCGGCTCCCAAGGCCCCACCTGCCACCACACCTGCCTCTATGCCCCTGGGGGCTGCCCCAGCCCTGCCTCGCTTGGCCCCGGTCCTCTTGCCCGGCCCAGCTCTGGCCCAGCCCCCCTTGGGCAGCCTAGCTCCTTTCAATTCAGGTGAGTGGAAGGTTGGGAGGAGCTGGAATTCAGAGCGTATTTCCCTCTAATGACATGCCCTTCCTTTTCCTTCTTGACTCTTCCCATCTCCAGTCACCTGTGGTCTTCTTTGCTTCAGGTTCTTGGGGGAAAGAAGGAAGGAAAGGGATCATGGAGGCTAGTTGTGGGAATGGGTGGGTGAGGCTGGAGGTGGCCTATAGCCGGAAAGAGGAGGGGCCAAGAGTTGGCTAATCCTTCATCATTCCTTTCATCTTCCTAGGCCCTGCAGCCTCCTCAGGCCTCCTTGGCCTCGCCACTTCGGTTCTGCCTGCTACCACAATGGTCCAGACTGCTGGCCCAGGCTGCCCCTTACCTCAGAGATCTGTGCCCGACCAAACCAACACCTCCACGGCAGGCACCACTGACCCTGCCCCAGGCCCGCCTACTGAGCCCTCTGGGGATAAGGTCTCTGGTGAGCGAAAACCAATTGCAGCCCCCACCAACTCCTCCACTGATGCCCTCAAGAACCTCAAAGCATTGAAGGCCACTGTCCCAGCCCTGTTGGGGGGCCAGTTCCTGCCCTTCCCACTGCCCCCTGCAGGAGGGGCCACACCACCGGCTGTCTTTGGCCCCCAGTTACAGGGAGCCTACTTCCAACAGCTTTATGGCATGAAGAAGGGGCTATTTCCAATGAACCCCGTGATACCTCAGACCCTCATCGGACTACTCCCCAATGCCCTCCTCCAGGCACCACCCCAGCCCCCTGAGTCCACAGCCACAGCACCTCCAAAGCCTCCTGACCTGCCCGCTCCAGGGGAGGGGGAGACCGGGGAGGCGGACGAGCTGCTGACAGGCAGCCCTGGCATCTCCACCGTGGACGTGACCCACCGCTACCTGTGCCGCCAGTGCAAGATGGCATTTGACGGGGAAGCTCTAGCCACTGCTCATCAGAGATCCTTCTGCTTCTTTGGGCGGGGTCCTGGGGGTTCCATGCCCCCCCCACTTCGGGTGCCCATCTGCACTTACCACTGCCTGGCATGTGAGGTGCTGCTGAGTGGGCGTGAAGCCCTGGCCTCCCACCTGCGCTCCTCGGCCCACAGGCGAAAGGCGGCCCCACCCCCAGGGGGCCCACCCATCATCGTCACCAACGCCGCCACTGCTGCCACCGCTGCCGTGGCTTTTGCCAAAGAGGAAGCAAGATTACCTCACACGGACTCCAACCCAAAAACTACTACTACCTCTACACTTCTAGCTTTATAAACAGATAAAAGATAAACCAAGATCTGGGAGAGGGAGGGCCTCAGGGCTCCCTCTCTTACCCCAAGGGGTGTTTGGTGGGAGCTCAAATCCCTCACCCCAACCTTTAGCTCGCCCACCTCCTGGGAATCTCAATTCCCACCCTCAGTGGGCTTCACACACCCACTTCTAGCAGAGTCCTGCCTCCTCCCCTGCCCAGACACACGCCTCCACTCCTTGCCCTGTGACTTCACAGACATCCTCATCTTGTCATCCTTATTATTCACTCATGTCTGCTCTGCTCAGCATACACAGAATCTGTCCTTGATCTATCTTCCTACAACTTTTCCCCCACTGAATTCCCAGTCACACCCCAGCTCCTATAAACACACACATGAGTACATGTTCTCCCGTGCTGTTCCACTGACTGAGAAAACACCAAAAAGAAGAGAAGAAGAAAAAGAAGAAGAAAGATGAAAAAGATGAAAGAAAAAGGAAACCCCAAGACAGAGAAGGGGAAGGAAAATAAACTGTCGCTCCCCCTCCTTCCTGCCCCCTTGTCTAGAGCACCATCTGCTCAAAAACTTTCCAAATACCCAGTTGGCTCCCAATGTTGGAGCCTGGGATGGGCAGGGAGCCCACAAAACTAACCAAACTTTAGGTTGGCGGGGAGAAGTGCTCCCAGCTCACTCTCCTCACATCCCTCCTAACCTCCTTGTCTGGCAGGGGGGCCCCTGTGGCCTGGACTCTAGGGGCAGCTGCCACCAGGGATCCCTCTGCCAACCCCCACCCTGCACCCTGAGAACTGCAGTAACTTATTCTCAAAGGCTTTAAACACAGAGATCCTCTCAGCAGCCGTGGGCCTGCCCCTCGTCCCAGCCCTGCCACGTGGGGGTCCAGCCTCTGGGACCGGCGCTGCCCACCAACGGCAAATCCAAAGTTCTTTAAAAAACAAAACAAAAACTGAAACACACACACAACCAAAAAAGAGAGAGCGCACACATGTGCACAGGAGTGAGAGATGGAGAGGAATGAACTAAAAAGAAACAAACTTGGAAAATACAGAAAAAAAGAAAAAAAAAACCTGAAAACTCTCCCATCAAACAAGTGGTTTTTTCCTGTTTGTGTCGCCTCCCCCCATTTTAAGGGTTTCTTTAAAGCACCTCATCTTTGGAAGGTCAAATGGCTTTAAGTCCTTGCATGGGTACGGTGACCCTGGGGACAAAGTAGTGCAGCTTTGCCCTGGTCATGTGGGGTCAGGGCGCTGGAGATGGGGAGACACATCCTTGCCCCTGAACTGAGTATTTGTCAGGAGAGGAAACATCCCCCTTCCCCAGATGTGGGTCAGAAAAGCCGGCGCTGCCAAAAATATCTTGGTAGTGTCAGGAAGAAAGGGGTGGACGGGCAGTTGATTTCTGAGTCTTGGGTATGCTTCCTTTTCATATAGCTAATCACCATTTCTCACTCACAACTTTCATAAACCCCTACTCCTTTCCCCCTCCCTAGTGGCCCTTTCATATTTTGGTCACTTCTTAAACCTCCTTGCCTTTGGGGACCCTTGTTCCCCATCTGTATTCTTCCCCCTTGTATGCCCTGGCACCTGTTCCCTTCAGCCCAGCCCCTCCAGTAAGCAGCATCTGCTGGGAGCACCCCCAAAGGAGTCAGGGTCTGTGAGCCCCGTGGGGGCCAGAGCATGATTGCAGGGTGATGGGTGGGCAAGGAGATGACTAAAGCACAGGTGACTCTCTGATAGGGTGATATCACCAAGAGGAATGAGCTGGGACAGGTTCCCCAACTCTATCCCAGTTTCTCTGTAATCATCAGGTGGTAAGTGCAGCAACCCCAAAGCCCAGCTAAAGTGAAATAGGATGGAGAAGCAGGTATTTTATTTTAGCACAGAAAAGCCCCCAAAGCTTTCCCAGTCCTACAGATTGTGTCTCCTACTACCCTTGCCCCTAAGAACTCCCCTTGCGAGGGAGCCTGCTTCCAGACTCTCCTTCTGGCTTCCTCCACTCCCATTCTCTGTTTCAGATGCACACACACACATTCAGCCAGCCCTGTATTTGGATTTCCCAGTCTGTCCACTCTGTGGACATGTTAATACCAAAGCAGTGGCTTATATGCAGAAAAGACGGAAGGGGAGAGAGGAAGGAAAATGGCTGTCCCTAGTCCCTGTCCCCTTCATTTCTCAAATGAAAAGCTCCAGTGCTAACCAACCAGGGTGGGGTGGAATTAATTATTCTGACGATGCCCAAAATGCCAGTTATAAATGCAGGCAGGAGGATAGAACCTACTGTGGTCTTGCTCTCGCTGCCCTTCTCTCACCTCTCAACATCTCGCATCCTTCCCTTCCTGCCTATCCCTTTTCTCTCTCCTGTTGAAATTCTGTGTATAAAACTATTTTCTTAGCAGCATGTGTATGAAGAAAGAAACTTTTTCACTCTTTGCTTTCTGGGAATGTGACTTATGTATAAAAGTTGAAAACAAACCAAAAACATTTTTTGAAGAATAGGAAGAAAAGAGGAAACATTTTAAAGAAAACCTTGGCAAGACCTGGCATGGGCTGATGAGAGTTGTGCTGGTGTGCACTTCAGGGATTTGCAGCCAGCATGGCTTGGCTTTAGTTAGAACCAGGAATGTGTTCACCAGGAGTTAATAGAGCCAGAAATCCCTCCTCCTCTGGCCCCCCAACATCATCTTTTAGGCCCAGATACCCTGGCCTGGAGATACCAAGCACACTCCCAATTGTAGACAGGAGCAGCTGTCCTTACCAGGAACAGTGACTTGGGGGACAAGAGCCTGGCTGCCTCTGCTGACTTGGGTCAATCATGCTTCTGGAGGGGACACCACTCCATGTTCCCAGTGGCTGGAAGCATCCCCCACCCCTTTCTCAGACCGGGAGGCCTCAGCACTCCCACTCCAGAGACGCGCAGTGAGCAATTCTGATGGACAGAAGGCTGAGTGAGCACAGCCTACGCAGAATGCTACAAGTGAACACCTGGGCCAAATCGTGTTGCTTTTGTGCAGTAGGAAACCCAACTCAAGCGCCTGACACAGCAACACCTATTTTGTAGATAATGCCACGGCCCTAAAGTGAGCCTGGATTGGTGGTTCCTAAGATTGGTCTTCCACGGCTTGCGGCATAAGCCTAGGGTTTTTGACATAGTGGGTCCTATAACATCAAACTTCTGGTCCACTCTACTTACTGTCAGAGTCAGTTCCAGAAGACGGGGTGGACATGATCTTGGCTGTCTTTGCTCTAAATCAGTCTGGGTAGGGATGGCTTAAGGTGCCCAACTCTCAAGTGGGAACAAAATCAAAGTCTGTCTACAGAAGAATATGAAAATCTGAAGCCTTAGTGGCCAAATGGGGCAGAGTCTGCAATAAGACCACAAACAGACACCTGTTCCCCTGACCCTCTAGCCCCTCAGTGGACTTATGAAGCATGCACAAGAACGAAAAAGCCAATTATTCCAGGCACAATAGCACCTACCTCCTTACTTCCTTGTATTTGTTCCTTAACCACTTTCAGGGCTTATAGACCCGATCACTGATTCCCCAAATCGTCACCACCCTGATCTGCTTTAAGAGACATTCACTCAGGCAATCACTCAGTCACCCCTGTGTAATATTCACACCTGAAGTACAGAGCTCTGTGTATGTCACTGCACCAACAAAACAAGCAAGCACACCCTCAGGAACAGCAGCAGAACCGTGTAGAGAGAGCTGCAGGGATACCCACAAATGTAGCAAGTATAGGGCACAAGGGACATGTCCCAGACCCATCACCAACACTCCCCACTCCCCTAAATAGAAACACTCCCCAATACATATTAATTTTCTTCACACAACAGTAGGTAGGAAAAGCTGAAGTGTAACGTGCCAGGAAAAGTAACCAAATGTTGAACATTAATCCATGGGGCAAGGACCTTACATTCCTTTGGAGTGTGACACTAGGGAGGGAAGGGAAGTAGAAACCAGGAGGAACCTTTGGGGAAAACTTACATGAACACCGGCGTGAACTGGGCCAGGTGCTGGGGAGCATTTCTCTCCAGGTTGTGGTGGGGAGCTCAAACCACCAGTGGGGAGCAATAGTGAGAAACTTGTAAGCCAGGAGGATGACGTTTCTAGAGGACTGAGTAAGGAAGAAATGCCCCCAATACCAAGAAAGCTCTTGCTACAACAAAGGTATAGACTCCGCCCTAGCTGGTTTGGCTCCGTGGATAGAGCATCTGCCTGCACACTGAAGGTTCCCAGGTTTGATTCCGGCCAAAGGCACATGCCTGGGTTGCGGGCTCAATCCCCAGTAGGGGCGTGCAGGAGCCAACCGATCAATGTTCTCTCTCCATCATTGATGTTTCTATCTCTCTCTCCCTCTTCCTTCCTCTCTGAAATCAATAAAAAATATATTAAAAAAAAGAAAGGCATAGACCCAGCCTCAGGGTCTATAGCATTACAGCTTGGATACATTACGAAAAGATTCAGATGAAAGAGGACATGGGTAGAAGACCTAGATTACACTCATCAAGTTTTCAGAAAGATGGGGAGTGATCCCCAGGGACCACCTACCTCCCAGGGAGAGACTAACTTTATGGGAAGAACATATACGTGGTATGTATTCTCCATAAAGACGACCAAGAAAGCCTTCCACATAAATGACAGGGGTAAATGGCAATATTCCTTGTCAGTGAGCCTGGTGTTTCTTGGCTCCCCAGCCATGGAGAGGTTACCTGGCTTGAAGCTAGTGGGGAAGCATATGATTATCAGTGGACCAGAAAGAAGGTGAGGGGGAAAGGTGACCCGATATTGACTCATAATCCTTCCCAACCAAACACACATTCCTACACAAACAATGGCTAAAACACCAGAACAAGTACCCAGCAGGCGCTGAGCACTGCCCCACATCTACTGCCCTTCCCTGAGACCAAACCTGCACCATGTCTTCTCCACTGGAAGTATCTGCACTGTGCTCACTCCTGGACAGTCCACCAAGTGCTCAAACGACAGTATCATCTACAACTTTCCGAGTATCGGCAGCAGGTTAGGCCCAGCCTATGCTCACCTACTTCTGAGACCGGGACCCTGACTTGAGAAAGAAGTGTAACCAGGACCCATCCTGTATCGAGCCATAGAATCCACACCAAGCTGACCAGATCCCAGAGAGCAGCTTCCTGATAACTCCTCACCAGTGCTGTTTAGTGATGAGGTTTTAGAAACACACAATAGCCAACCACCAGAATCTGGGGTGAGGGGAAGAGGACATTTTGAAAGAGTTCCATAAGGGAGTCTTCTGTGATAATTACTGTCAATGGGAACCATAGTTCCCACAGGTTAAATCTGCCTGATTTGACCTCACAATCACCCCTTTCTTCCTGCTGCCCCACTTAAAACACACATCCCACAGCACATATATATTACATGTGTGATGACATAAAGACACGACTATGGTTGAGGAGGAAGAAGAAAGATGCAAAAGGCAGGATAACTCCAGACTAGATCAACTGTCCCACAAGGTGACCGACATCGCTTTGAATAGTGTTTCTCGGCATTTCGGCCCCGTGTCGTGGTCACTTGAGTGCTTGTTTAAAATGCACATTCCAGGACCACACCCACCGAATCAGAAACTCCTGAAGGGACTCTGTGCTCTCTGGAATTTGAGAAACACTAATTTAGATTACTCAGCCCCGTACACATCTTTGACCTGCCCCCAACTCTCCAGGACCCAGGGCCCAGCCCTGCTACACCAGGGGCTGTCACCCAGGAGCTGAGCATCACCTGAGATTATCTTCTTCACTGTCCTGACAGCCCCACCTCCAATATTTTGGAAATCTGACAGTGTCTTCTGCTTATGTCGGCTGTTCTTGAGCAGGAGAAAAGTTACAACCATTGTCCACTCATTCCCTTGGCTGAGCGCTTCACTGTGTCCCCTCTGCTATGGAAACCCCTTGCTTCTTCTGAAGTTTCATTCCACTTCCAGAGATGCTGAAAGCAGAACTCCCCCAGCTCCAAGTAGCTCAGCCCAGCACGAACAATGGCTTTACTTCTCTCTGGGCAGGTCCTATCCCTCATCAGAGCCACCTAACATCACCCAGAGCCAATTCTACCCAAACAGCTTCTGAGTCACTGCCCACAGTCTCTGGCTACCCAGGAAGCAAGGAAAATCCAACTGCTAGAAGTTCTTCC